CATACACACAAATATATACATACATATATCTACACATACATACACAGATAACATTTATTGAGTGTCCACTACATGCTGAAAGGCATTAGGTTGATACTACTTTATCCCTGCTACATGCTCTAACTAGGCCACTGCATATATATGGTACTACTTTTAAGTGCATAAACTGAGCAGAGCAATCCCAAAACACACCTTTCCATTTGTATCCTCCACAGGGCCCAGAGGAGTGCTTTGTGTACCTGAATTCAAGAAATACAAATTTCTATGTTGTGTATTTAAAAACATTGTCTACACTATTTCTCATTTCTAAAGGTACTCTTAGTTGGGGGACTTTAAGGTTTGCAATTTATCAAATGTCATCACAGTACCATATACCATACTCTTTGGGGTTATGTTCCATCATTCACTCTGCTGTCCTTCTTTTAAACTGGCTGAACTTCTCTCATGACTCTTTTAAACTGGTTGAACTTCTCTCATGACTCTTTTTATCCACTAAAAATAATAGGCCCAAAATACTAAACTTCACCGGTCTTCAGATCCTTCTCTGTTTTAGGCCAAATATGTCATAAAAGAGTGGCTTCCTTGTGATTGAACCTCATCTCCTTAGGCCAAGTGAAGAGAAGACCTGGGGAGAAAATGCCAACCAAAAACATACACCAGGAGAGAGTATTTGTAAAACAGATTGTGTGAAGAAAGCAATCAGCTCAGAAGATAAATCCAGAGTTACATACAGACCCAGCCTGGCAACTGAGCTGCCCTCTAAGAGGAAAGCCTCTCATAGCCCAGGTCCTCACACTGCTGTCCTCAATCCATCCACACCTCTCTTCACTACCTGAGTCTAGGTTGCACTAGTTTATCATCCAGTATTAATGAAGCAGTTCGGCTGTGTTAATGGGGCAGTCACAAAGAAATGAACACTGTACACAATCTGAAGAGACTTTCATATCTAAGGTCTAATAATCAACCCTGAAAAGTAGATACAATGCTCTTTAGGTTTGCTTTCAGCTTTTGAGGGACAGGCTCTTTAGGATGCAGAAAGCTCCGGAAGAGCGGACCTAAAGGCTAGGTTAAGTCTGGGAAGACAGGAAGAAGGATTCAGGCACCTGCAAGGGATCAGAAGTCAGAGTTGAAGGCACCCCTCCTGCGGCAGGGGCCTGACCTTTGCCCCCTACATTCTTCCCAGTTGCTTTCCACAACAATCTCTCCCTCGTCTTACTCCAGCCCCTGCGCACTTAATCCACCCCGGCTCGTCCAATTTAAGGTTCCTCCTCCCCTAATTCCCTATGGCGATGTCAGGATGGCCTTCACAACCCTGGAACTCTAAGAAGAGACTTCGCTGACCTGTCAGCGGATCCAAAATGGCGGGGCCTAGTCCCAGGACCGGCAGCCGCTGCTCATGTCCAGCCCGGGCCCCGAAGGCGTCTCCGAGCGGCTCTCCCGGCTCTGGTGGCAGATGGGAGAAGGGAAGTAACCCTTTTCCTGGAAGTTGAGGCCGCAGTTAGGGGCCGCACAGCGGCCGGGAAGAGCCGGCCGGAACGGGCGATAGAGCCGGCTACCCTGCCTGTCAGCTCACTGACGTGGTAACTAGCCTCAGTCTAGCCCGCTGCCTGGTAACTGCGCGAGCCTTGCCGAGCACAGCCAATCATAACTCTGCACCGTGAAAAGTGGCACTCCTGTTATCCAATTGAAGAAAGGAAATTGGCTTCGAGAGGTGGGTTGTGCCTAAGGAGGCGAGATTACAAGGGAAAGAAAAGGGTAGGTAGGGGACAGCCAACGGATACAAGGATTCTGTGAGTGACAGTAATAAGAGCCAATAAAAATGGAGAAATTGTGCTGGGCAGTTGGAGAGGTGGAGTTAGCTAGAGTTCGGTTGCATTGCGGCTTGGTAGTGTCTGCTGGGCATTATGGGGAGGAAAGCTCTGATTTGTTGGAAAGGGGGCGGGGTTCGTTTTGAGAGCCTGAGCGGACGACTCTACTCTCTCCTCCCTGCCCCACCCCGGCGCGGTAATTCCGCATCAAAATCAGGTGGACCAAAACCGTGCCCCGTACGGGAACACTTCCACATGAAGCAGCTTCTGGGCTCCATCCATCCGGGGACCAGTCCCACAGTTTAGCCCAACCCCCCCTCCCCCACTCTCTCGTCTATCTGCCCTGTCTGGCTTCTCATAGAGTGTCTGTCCTATCTATTTCTGTGTCTTGTACCCCATTCCTATAATGCAGAAATAGAAAAAATGAGAGGTGGCAGAAACCTATCCAATTCAGGTCTCTTCATTTTACAGAGCAGGAAACTGAGTCCCAGAGTGGAAAGATAGCCCCCACGTTTGCATAACTATTTACTGGCAGAGCAGAAAGACAAACTCAGGTGTCCTCATCCCCAGGTCAATTTTCTTTTTCACTGCCCTTCACTACCTCTTATGCCTTAGTCTCTCAGGCAGTGACTCCCAGCTCTGCCTCTCATACTAAGCCTTGGACACTCTTTATCTATCTGAAACAAAGCTAATCACACGGATTAGTCCATATCAGAGACAGGAAACTGAAGCCTTTCCTGTTTGCCCTAAAAATATTAAGAAGCCTAAGGGCTAGATGCCCACCCCAGTCTTCACCCTCCCGTCCCCAGGTGCCTTGCCTCTTGCAAGAGATGATAGAGATTGCTAGGATATTTACAAATTACCTAGAAGTGAGAGTGTGTAGGAAGAGGACAGGAGGATAGGTTTCCTCCTTGCAGATTGACTGGTGGAATTCCCGGCCTGTTTTCTAGAATAGAGCCCAGGTGTCCCTGCAGACCTGAAGAGACTGCTGGGAGGCAATGAAAAAAGATACCAAGTCTCTCCCATTTTCCTCTCATTTATGGATGACCCAAGTCCAGGGAATCTATATGCCTAACCCCATAGAAATGTGGTCTCAAAACCAGACATCCAAAGGCCAACCACTTACTACAATCCTCTAATTTGAAGAACCCATCAGACCTGAAGAACTCTTCAACAGCTCCCTGCACCTGACATTGGGTTCCTGGTCTCTGGGTCCAATTGAGACTCTTGCCTCTTTTGCCCAAAAAGAGGAAGAAGATACAACTACCATAGCACCTCTTTCCACAGTACCTCTGAGCCATTTCCCAACTTCCCTTGAAAACTGGGATTTGATCTCTTAGGTCTGTCTCAGATTGAGAGGTCCTAGATAGCCAAAGTTTGGAAAACCCTCCAAGTGGGCCAAAACTTCCTACTCCTCCATCCCCACTCCCACATACCTCTAAAAATTAACCAACCTAAAAGCATGAATGGGATTGTGTGTTAGAAATGAAGAGGAGAGAAATGACAATGCACTAGCCACTCCATCATCTTACCAGGCAGAACATCTCCCTCTTAGATTTCAGTACTGAGTTCCTACATTATGCCTTGAAATAGAAACATGAGGGAGACATGGTATTTGCCATCCTAAACCTTAGCATCATAGGGGACTGCATATAAGCTGATCTCTTCAATATAGTGGGTGAGATAATAGAGGGTATGCACAGGAGGGTTGTGGGAGCAAGAGGCTAGACATCTGGCTAACCCAGGAGTTCAGGAACAGCTTCCCAGAGAAAATAAGGCCTCTGAGAGGAGCTTAGGAGGATGAGTTGGAATTGACAAGATGAAGACTGGCTAGAAATATGTTACTGTCAGAAGAAAGGCCAGAGGTGTGCAGGAAACCACTAGGAGATTGGAAATTAAGGCAGGATCAGATCCTGAAAGTCCTTCGGGCCAGGCAAGGGAGCTTGTTCTCTATCCTGAGGGCAATCAGGAGCCATTGAAGGACTTTGACATGACCGGTCAGATTTATCTTAGGAGCATATTGTGTGATAGGGTTCAGGGCCCTCGGGGGCACCCAAACAACTCACCCTGACTCTACATGTTCCTTGGGACATCTGTTCTATCCCTTGCAGTCCCCTAATTAGCAAACACCAAGGCCTGACCTTGCCCACAGAATTGAACCTAGTATTACCAAGGAGGAGCTAGCCCTGTTAAGGCTGGGAGAGCATAGCCTGGGCAAGCCAAAAACACAGACTAACAGGTGAATTGCCCAACCTCTGAGGAGTGCCCAGTCCAAGCCCTGAGATCCAGTGAGAGCCTCCATAAACTGTTTAGGGTAGATGGGAGTAAGGGGGTGATAGTTATTTGTCCAAGGTCACTCAGTGATGGTGTGGTTGGTGACGGGGTTAGGATGATGCTTTGGTTTGTCTCATTCCAAAGTCTGCTTTCTCCACGAAGCTACCTTCCTTGAAGGAGAGAAAAGTGGGGGAGAGGGTGGAAGATAGCCAAGAAGAGGAAGGAGAGAAAGATGTGAGGAAAGAGAGGAGCAGGAGAAAGAGAAATTAGTCTTTCAAAGTGGCAGAGGAGAGGGACAAACAGCGGGAGCAAAGCGGTGGAGGGGAAAAAAGAGGAAAGAAAGGCGAGACGTGGGAGGATTGGAGCAGACACAAAGGGCAGAGAGACGGACAGCGACAAGTGGAGAAAATCGCCGAAACTTGAGCGGCAACGAAGTGTGAGCTCTGAAAACCGGCGGCCTCTGCGGGCCCGTGCGCCCTCCCACCTGGCACCCTGGCAGCCCTGTCCCCGGCACCGCTCCCCGTCGCTCGGGGTGGTGCCCCGGCTCGGTGGGGCTACACAGCCCACCCCACGCTCGCCGGTTTGGCTCTACCGAAGCATTCTTGCTGGAGCTTGGTTTCAGCCACGTGGGGAGGGGCGTGTCCCGGTTGCTGAGGAGCGCCTCCGATTGGTCAGGGGGCGGGGCTCTTGGCGGCACGCCTGCCGAACCCCACCCCCGAAGGCGGGACCTGAAGATTCACAGCTGGAAAGGGTGGAGCCCGGGAAGCGCAGCTGGAAGGGGGCGGGGCCCTACGAGCGAACCTCACCGCTGCGGGCTGGGGGCGCCCTGGGCTGCCATAAAGTGAATGGGCGCCGGTGGGGGGTGGCAGTTTGCGGCGAGGCTCCCTCGCTCCCTCAGCTCCGCAGTCCCGGGGAGTGCCCGAGCAGAGCGGCCGCCCGGGCGCAGGGGGGCAGCCCCCACCCCGGCCGGGTGCCCTGCCCCTGGCCCCTGCCTGCCCTCCAGACTGCGGCCGCCGCCGCTGCCGGGAGCCTGCCTGCTGCGGAACTCACCGTGAGTGCTTGACCACGCGGAGGACAGGGGCTCAGGGGGCCCAGGGGCCATGGCTGGACTTTGGGATTCCTAAAAGGGGACTTGGGTGAGCTGAACTGGGGAACGGTACCTGGGGAGCCGGTCGAAACTGGGAGGGCGGACTGCAGGACTTAGGGAAAGGGAAATTCAGAGTGAGAACTCGAAGGACAGAAAAGGGGGATCCGGAGGTGAACCGGAGGCATGAAGCCAGGACAGGGGCTCTGCGAAGCGGGGAGAAGAGTCAGGAAACCATTACCAGAAAGCACCCTGGAATCCGAGGGCGCGGGCAGGCAGCCCGGGCGCGAAAGGGACTGCCGAGGCCCTGGCCGGCGGGGGGAGCTGGCAGCGGCTGCCCAGTATAGGGGCAGTTGGCGGCGCCTGATGCCCCTCGGCTGGGGCTCAGATCAGACTCCAGGGGCTGGGAGCAGGGGTGCGTCTAGTCGCACACGCTTCTCCTTTCAGCTGCTTCGCAGTTGCGACAGGAGCCTTGTAGTGAGAGGTTGGCGCGACCGGGTCAGATGGCCGCGGTGCGGGCGTCAGGGCAGTGGCTGGGCAGCCGGAGTCACAGGCAGTGGATCCGATCCGGCTCGGGGTGTCAGGGTCTGCATGGGTCCGGGCCTGGGGCCGCCACCAAAGCGGACGGAATGTCCGCAGCGCGCGGGGCTGAGAGCGGACAGAATGTCCGGGGCAGAGAGGTGGGTCTCTCTGGAGCAGGCGCTGCGTCTGGCAGCAGTGGACAGAATGTCCCTGGCCGAGTGGCACGTCCATTTACCCGGCAGCGCCTGCCCAGCTGCTGCGTGTGCGGTGGGGTTCGCTGTGGTGGGTCGCCTCAAATCCCTCTTTGCAAACTTGTTTCTGCTCCTAGGGGCTGTGGGGCTCAGGAGCAGGGAGTGAGAGTAAAGCCTGCGGCCAGGCCTTGGGGCGGAGTGGTGGTGGGACAGATTACCTCTCCAACTCAAGCCAGATCCAAGCATCGCCTGGGCCTCCAGAATCCAAATCTGAGCAGAGAAATCCAACGGTGGGACTGCTAGTGGGAATCAAGACCAGAAAAGGTGTGAACCACAAAGGGCAATGGGAGAGCAAGGAGGAGCTCAGCACAAGCCCCTGCTAACCCCAGTTCCCTCACAAACTCAGAGGCAACCCCTAATTCCAATACAGCAGATCAGACACCCCCAAACTTCTTGCCTCGGTGTCAGCAGGCTAAAGGTGCCTTCTCTGTAGGGAGCAGGAGCCCAGGCCTGAAGAGAAAACTGCAGCCCTTTAGCAAAGTAAACCCTGTGGTCTTTTTCCCCTTTTTGCCCCCTCAGTCCCACCAATCTCAAAAACACCCTGATGGCTAAGAGGGGATAGGAAGAAGACACACGGAATCCAGACTCTTAGGTCCAGCATGAAACCTATATAGCCCCCAACTCTGGTTAGGAAGGAGGTCTCAGCCCTACCCAACAGCCCTGTGTACTTTCCCTTTAGGGGGAGGGCCCTGATTCTTTGGACTCCTGCAATAACTACCCACCCTGACCCCAACTCTTTAACTAGACAGACCCCAGTTAGGCTGAAGAGAACAGAGTAGAGACAACTCTCCCAGTCTATGTTCGTGAGCAAAACAGCCAGGCTGGAGACTGAATTTTCACGGGGGCAAGTGCAAGGTGATGTGTTCAGCAATGACTAAATAATCTAAACAAGTGGGTCTGAACCTTCCTCAGCCTCCACCCAGGAGCGACATACAATACATGTCCCCTCACTCCCACCTCCATTCCTCGATTTTCAAGTTTGCGTATTACGAGCTTGGGCATTGTTTCTCTACATTTTTTGTTCCTTGCCCCCCTTTGATTAATATAGAGTCAAACCCCAAAACCCTCACCACATTCTGATACCCTTTTCAGGGGCTTGAGCTCCCATCACCTTTGAAAATCACTGAAATTATGGGATTATGGGTGATGAAGGGGTCTGAGTCAGGAAAGGAATAGGGAAGGCGTTACAGATGGTTCCCTGAAGATCTTAGCCCAAAGTTATGCTTTTGCCAAAAATCCAAAAAGCAACAGCATTATAACAAAGATGACTGGACACAAAAGGCAGAACCTTCTCCCATCCTTGCATAAAACCATGTAGCTGAGTGCATGCCCGAGTCACTGGCTCTTAGGGGGCATGTCATGGGCCTGGAGAAGTGTCAGAGAATAGTTCACAGAATAGGGAGCTAGTGGCTGCTGGGGAGAGCAAACTTCAAAGTTTAGAAAGTTTGGAAAGTGAGATAGGGTGAAAAATCCACAAAATAATGAAAGGCATCGATAAACAGAAGACTTGTTTGCTCCCCAAATCCTGAAACGGGAGATGAGGGGGTCTCTTAGAACTGGAGTGACGCAAGCACAGGATGAAGGGGGAAATGTTCCTTGGCACATAGTGGGCAGCCCACTTCCAGAGCTCATTTCCAAAGAGGTGGTAGAGGCAGGAAGTAGAAATGAAATTCTTCGGGGCTTGGGAGGATCAGTGCATGTCAGAGCCACAAATGGCTGCCGGGGTGGAGGGGGCAAGGAATGAAAAGACCTCAGTCCCTGGTCTTCAATCTCTGCCATATAACCTTGGACAAATTTGTCTTCTTAGAGGTGAAATGGGGATGGTCATTACTGCCACTCACAGTGGTTGTAAGAGTTAAATGAAATCATATGTATAAAAGCCCTTTGCAAATGGAAAAGCACCACAAAAACGAGAAGCATCACTGCCATTATTATGGCCAGACTGTAGAATCTTTGCTTGGAGGGGTGGGGTCTCAAGTCTTAGATCAGCCAGAATGCATCCCTGATCCAGCCCCAGGAAGATTCTCAATGACAGATGAAACACCTTCTCTCAGGCTTCAGATACCAGCCATTGCCCCTGCTCCTCTCCGAGGAGAGTTCAAAGGAGCTCCCCAAATGCTTAACTCCTCTACCAGGCCAAATATGATGTGTCTGCTGTTTAAGGATGTGAATATGGACCCAAGACCCAGGTCCAGGAAGGGATAGCAGGGGAGGCAGACCAAAGCTGAGCTGGCTTGGGAATGAGACAGAAGGAGCCACCCAAATCTTTTCTTCTCCATTCACTCCTAATGATGATTTCCAGAGTGGGGGGGGGGGGGGGCAATTAACC